TTGGCGAAGGAGCAAGGCTGTGAGGAGCTCAGGGAGAGAACGTCGAGGCGTCAATGACTGAGCATCTGATAGGTAAGTGGGAGATGATTAAGTAGGCTGATGATGAGATGAGTGGTAACAGGTGTGAGTGATGTGAGGGAGGAGGCGCTGCTACCTGACAGTATTCCCCCCCCCCCCCCCCCCCCCCCCCACCACCACCACCACCACCACCACGGCCGGCTCCAGAAGGCCCAGCACATCCCTCCCGGAAATCCCTGATGAGGGAAGGGTCCAGAAAGGACCCGGCGGGTTACCACAACTGTTCTTAAGGTCCGTGACCCTCCCAGTCCACCAGGTATTGCCAGCCGGTGGGCATCCAGAATGCGACGCACCTTGTACGCAGGATCGCCGTCGATCACACGAGGAGCCGGGAGCCTCACAGGAGGCGGTGGCAAAGGGGACGTGGGCTGCTGCTTGAGCTGGGAAACATGGAACACGGGATGGATCCTGAGAGAAGCAGAGAGAGGGAGATGATAGGCCACCGGATTGATGCGACGAATCACCTCGTAAGGTCCAATGAAGCGGGGGTTGAGTTTGGTTGAGTCCGTGCGGAGCCGGAGGTGGGTGGTAGAGAACCGAACTTGGGCCCCGGGCTGGAACACTGGACCAGAGCGGTGGCAACGTTGGTGCTGCCGGGCATATTGGTTGTTTGCCCTGTTAATGGCAGCCCGTGCACGGATCCATGCCTGACGACATCGACGAACTAGGTCCTGTGCTTCCGGGACGCCCACCTCAGACTCCTGATGGGAAAACAGAGGAGGGTTGTAGCCATTACACACTTCAACAGGAGACAGAAAGGTAGCAGAAGAGACTTGGAGATTGTGTGAGAGCTCAGCCCAAAGAAGGTACTTAGGCCACAGGGTTGGTTGGGAGGAAACGAAGCAGCGCAGGAACCAGCCCAGTTGTTGGTTGGCTTGTTCTGTCTGGCCATTGGTCTGGGGGTGGTAGCCAGAGGAAAGGCTTGAGGTGGCACCCACCAGATGACTGAAACCCTTCCAGAGTCGGGCGGTGAACTTAGGCCCCTTGTCAGTGACAATGTCCGACTGGAAGCCGTGCAGGCACACAACGTACTCCAGGAACAGTTTGGCAGTCTGTTTAGCAGTAGGAAGGCCCTGGAGTGCAACAATGTGGACGGCTTTGGAAAACCGGCCCACAATGGTGAGTATAGTGTCCAGGCCATCCACTATGGGGTGACCGGTGACAAAATCCAGACCCATATGCGACCAAGGACGTTTGGGAACGGGCAAGGGCTGCAGGTCTCCAGTGGCAGGCCGATTGGAGGATTTGGACCTGGCACAGACCTCACAGGCAGCAACGAACTCCTCCACATCGTTGGCCATAGAGGGCCACCACAGGGACAGCAGGAGCAGTTGTAGGGTGTGAGTGGGTCCAGGGTGCCTGGAGAAGGGAGAAGAGTGAGCCCACACTAAGGCCTCTGATCTGTCGGCAGAAGGAACATATAGGCGATTAGTAGGTGTTTCGGGGGAGCAGGTTCCCTAAGGAGAGCTGCTCTGATAGAGTCCTCCAAGGGCCAACGTAGAGGGGTCAAGAACCGGTTGGCAGGGAGTATGTGGATCAGGGTCCATTAGAATTGGTCGTTAACCACTGCCTTCAGTGTATTTTATCAGCTGGAAACCTGTAAAATATAACTTTTCTGTCCTTCATTCCTCTACTTGTGTTACCTACAGGAATGTGTGTTAACCATGTTAATAGATATTATTTTGCCACTATTTACCTATGTTGGGGTGTGGGCACGTGCAATGGGTCTATATGGTTAAATCAGATTTTTTCCCAACAATTCTGATTTCTTTATCAGACCTGATTTCCAATTACATGATTGGATCATCTTTAGTACTCACCAAGTAAAGACTTTTCACATTGTCACATCTACTGGTTTTCCTACCAGCTGCAGACATTTTCTCCCTATAAACATAACTTTTACCAGCATAGACATCAATACATGATTTCTGGTTACTGGTAGTTCGTTCATACAGCCGCTAACTTTGGACTCTGGTTCTTTCCTTGTCGAGTCCAGCCTGTTCCATTTGCTGATTGGTTCTTTTATCCAATCTCCCATATTTTCCATTTTCTAGTTGAATTTTTTTTTTGTCGATTTCCGTTGTCGTCTCTTACTCGTCAACAAAATTGTTGGTCATTCATCAATATGAGTCTTTATTGGCGTGTATGTTTTAATTTTCATCTCGTTTTAGTTCGCGAAAATTCATTCGTCTGGACATCTTGCTTATTTTTTCAATACGTTTTCATTTACTGTAAAGAAAGAACAAAAGAAAATGATCTTTTATATAGCATCTCCCAAGATAAAAATAACGAGGCGCTTTATTATAATGTGTAAAGTGCTGCTGATTGGTAAATAAACGTTTGTTATATTTTCTTTTTCTTAGTCTGCATGAATGACATTCATGTTACTAATTCAAGTCCCTTAAATAGTTGTTCCATTGTTTTAGCTGTAATGGGAAATGGTAGAGTAATGTGGGCTAAATAAATTGCTTTAAAATCTATTTATTTCTATTCTCATAACTTGTGACCGATAGCTGTAATACTCTATTGATTATATAATATCACCTTGCTTGGTCTAGAAGGTTCTAGGATTATTTTAATTATTAAGGGATCGTTCACACTTTGTTTATGATTCAAGAACCAGTCAGTGTTTGCAAACAAATAAGAATTTATTTTAGAAACAATTAAGAGTTGACAAATGGTTTAAACTATTATCCTGTGAGTGGATGGAACTAAAAGATGGGTGTCTGAAAACTATATGTGAATAAGAGATAATGAATCAGAACCTCCATATGTTCAGAGAGGTGCATTCTGGATAAAATAATTTGATTTGCATCTAAACTATTAAGTTGCTATTATCAGAACCACATGCAGACGCTATCTCGTTGTGTCTACCTCACCCCTTTGGAGACCCAGATTGGATCCGAGATGTCCAGGAGCCGATGACCCCACTGCACCTGGTTCGTAGAGAAACCTTGATGCGACCAAATCAGTCCTCAGATGCCTCCGGGTCACAAAGATAGATGAATGTAACTAAGCGTCTTAAAATAACTCTGAAGGAGTTTGAGTCAGCTTTGTTCTGCAGGAAAACTATCTTGTTTTTCAGCTTCGCAGGTGCAAAAAGCTTTAAGGTTTTGACAGCGTACCAAAATCTTTCTAAGCTAGAGATCTGCTAAGAGATGGCCAGTCTCTAGCTTTCCCTCCCGACTGCCGAGAAAGCAGAGCAGCTGGTTTATATACTCGCTGTTTTCTATGACCAAACTTACCAAGAATCTCAGAATCGCACGCACTGAGACGCAGAGTCTCTGAGTCTAGGGACAAGGTTAGTTATGTGTCATACGTTCTTATCTTAGCCTTACTTCTTGTCTGGTGTAATGAGCAGATGGTGATGACCTCATCTAGTAAACATACTAAACCATCATTGAATACAGATTCCTGAACTTTTCATTGCTTAATTATACATGGCAATATGTAATGATTTTTAATCAGAAAATCTTCTTTCTTCAATGATTATTTTTAATTATAAAATGATAACTTTAATTATGAAATCTTCTTTTCTCTGGGAATAAAGATTTATCTAAAACAGTTCTCTTGTGAAGGGCCTTAGGGAAAGGAATGCTACTGTTCATCTTTATCATCTGATGAAGCTGCACTCAGCTGATGAAGTCATCTGATTAAAATGCTGAGTTGTGCAGACTCTCAGATTTCTGACAAGGGAAGATACAGCAGAACATGTAGCAGCCATGGTTATTTGCTTTAGCTGCATATGACCTGTTGGATCTTTAAAATCAGCCAATTTCTTGACGTTACATAGCGTCGCTCCAATATAGCGTGAGAGGGCAGCTCCAATGCACCGATGCCTCCATCTGCAGGATAAATAGGGCTGCTCTGTAGTAGATAATGGCTGAGTCACATATTATATTTATCCAACTCAATAAAGCAGAAGCAGGCAGGCAGATTACTCTGCCCTGAGTCAAGGAGATAATGATATCTGGCTGCTAGCTACCCCAGAACAGGCTCCAGACAGCCCAGCAGGCAGGTAAACTGACAGAAAATGCTGTTAAAGGAGTTGTACACAAATGCATTTGGTATGAGTTGGCTGTGACCTTCCAAAGCCCAGAAATGCTTGTATTGCTCCTCTACCATGCCATGAATGTCACCTTTCCTGTCAACTTGTGCCGATAGTATGCTGTGCTTCTATTTTCAAGGATTAAGCTTTTGGATTTTGCCTGTGAGACTGTGCATCTTCATATCTGAACAGTACAGAATGTGTCAACAGGCAGTGCGGCAAAAGCAGTGTGGTGACTGTCAGGTTTAGGAGAGGAGGTTGGACCCAGGATGCAGAAGTACCCAGAACGACTCAAAGGCAGGAGAGGTTTTAAGAAAAACAAGTCCTTTATTTAAGGAGGATGTGCTGAAAAGTCCAAAGCACAAAATAAGACTAATACTCAAAAAAACTTGAAAACTCCAAATTTACTAAGCTCACACATGAACAGGGACTAGGAGAGACTCGAGAGGGGAACGAACAACGCACCACATAAGACAATGACCCAACAAACACTGAAGGACAAGCTAGGCTTTTAACACAGTGGAAAGCAATCAGGGGAACAGGTGACAGGTGAAATCAATTAACTGCATGGGAAGGGAAAACCAAGCAGCGGGGAAAATAACATAACCTATAAAAACACTACATAACTAAACCTAGAAACTAAGGGCCAAGATAAACAACTAATGACAAGAGGAGTAAGAAAGACTAATTAACAAGTGGGGAAGGACACAAACACTAAAGGGAACAAATAAAATGAAAAGCTGAACCTATAGAAAATAAAACTACAGAGGGGTGACTGGAGAGAGAGGCGGAGCTGGCCTAAATGGTGCCCTGTGCGAGATCCCCCTGTGACGCCCCCACCCCCGACCCCCCTCCCCACCCCCCTCCCCACACACACACACAAGAAAAAAAATACACCTACAACTTTGTTTCAAATTGCGTGGAGTGTATTATATATAACAACGTTTGCTAACTGAATACAACATCCAGCTCCTGGCCACCTTCTCACCACTTGTCAAAGTTCTACTGAAATAGTGATGATGACAACACCTGCCATCGCCTTCATTCCTGGGAAATATGAAAGTAGTTGGCACCTTGGTAGGTCCTCTTCGAACTAGCTCTGTGCGTATGCTGTCGGTAATTGGTGATGACCACTTGGCTGGGTCTGAAGAAAGAGGCTCATCATCACCTTCAATGGGACTCATTGGTTGATCGTTCAGGCTTCTCTATTGACAGAAAACAGAAGCATAACTCAACACATTGCTATGTGGACCATTTCACATATTCTATTAAAATACAATTTGTGACATTCAAATTTCTCTAATGTTTGCAGGACACAAACACACACACACACACATACACACACACACACTTGTGCAAAACTTACCTGACGTATCTTGTTGGGGAGATGTGGCAGCTGGCTGTCCCTCATCAAGTTCACATATACTGGTAGGTCTCTCTATTGACCGAAAATGGAAGCATAACTCACCACATTGCTATATGGAACAATTCCCATATTCTGTGAAAATACTATTTAAATGCCTATAGCTAAATGTTTGCTGGACACACACACATGTGCAAAACCCACCTAAAGTATCTTCCTGGGGAGATGTGGTGCCAGCAAACTGTCCCTCCTCGAGTTCAAATACTGGCCTACTGGTATGAGCAGTGGAGGTAGATGGCTGTTCCTCAGTGGCAGCTGGTGTTATCCCAAAATATCTGTGTAGGGCTCCTGATGTTGCATAAAACAAACAATACAATTCAGCAGTGGTGGAAAGAATTCTGAAAATCTGTACTCAAGTACAAGTACTGTTACATTGCTAAAATATTACTCATTTACAAGTAAAAGTACTGGTGTTAGAGAAATACTCAAGTAAAAGTACAAAGTATTCATAAAAACCTCAGAGTATTATTTATTTTTAACGGCTGATGTCGCCATCACTTCTCCAGACTGGGGCTGCCTGGAAATTGAGTGTTTTCCTTTACCAAAAGTTAAAATACCAACAATCAATTAATCATTAATAATTAATAATATACAAAACAAGTGTTTTTCCCTAATTTTTTTGTCATTTTAAGTTTTTATTTCCTTATTCAGCAAATTTCTCCGGCAGACAAAAAACTAAATAACAAGAGGAGCCACGACTATTGATTAAATATCCATGAATCCATTTTAACTGGTTAAATTCTTTAACTCTCCCGTGCTGCTTCTTGGTCAGTGTGAGTTTTTAACATAGCCACAGTGTGCTGCACACTTAACGCAACATGATGACATCATCGACTTGTACAGTACAGATGTGCTGAAAGGCGAGAGTCTCAGCTTTCAGCTAAAAAAAGACCACTCTAGCTATTATAGTTTTTATTTTATGGCAGTTTACAGTTCAAACGGGATCTTACTAGCAGGGCACCTCCAGTGGCCCGCTGTCGCTCCGTTTTCCATGGGGTAAATAATAGCTAATTTCCCGATTCCAAAAAGAAAGGCGAATGGCGCAAGAAAGCAGGACAACCTGCCGTGGTGAATGATCAATACTGATATCAATGTATTTCAGCAAAATTCTCGAAGACTCATTTTTATTTAATAGAGTTTGGTTATCAGCCTTTCGGTTTTCCACTCTTAGCTTTTCATAAAAGCTCGTTTGACAAAGAAAAAGCTAGTGGTTGGAAGTAGTTCTAAATACATGCAACGTAAGAAGCTAGCAAAAGACATTTGAAAGGATCATCATAGCACCATGCAAAACGTTCAGATTAGAAGTTAGTTAATCAATAAGTTGGGGGACAGGCGGGAAAAATACCAACTAAATAATAAAGACACTCATACCTTCATCTTTTCATTATTATCATCACTATTATTATTAAGAACATGCGATTTCTATGTTTTGTTTATGTATTGGTTGATGCAAAAAAAAAATTTGTTTTGAAAAAAAAAAGGAAATTAAATGCCGCCCCCTGCAGTTTGCTGCCCTGTTCGGCCGCACATGTTGCACATATCAAGCTCCGCCCCTGACTGGAGAGACCTGAGAAGCTGGAAAACACCAGGAGGAACATGAGGAGAACACAGAGGACAAACAGGAGGGGGCTGGGGACCAAGGGGACACAGAACATGATTCTCACTCCCAGCGCGTCAAAAACAAATGCTTGGTCTGCCATCCTCTGCGCCACACCCCTGACACCGAAAGTGCCCTTTTTCGTAAGTACGAAAAGGAGTTTTTCCCTTTTCTGACTGCAGATCCCAATGCAGCGTAAAACTAACACGATGGGATGTCTGCAGCCGGGGCACCAAACGAGCTCATTGTACCACACCCGAACCTTATCCTCTTGTTATTTAACCTTCCCCTCACCCCCACCCTAACCTTAACCATCTTGCTAGCTAACACGTTACCCTTACAGTGACCAAGCGTTTGTTTCCCACATAAAATTAGTTGGGTTTGGACTGAAGCAATGCAAGGGGGAGGTTTCAACTACCAAGGTGGATGTTAGAAGTAGAGGGTAATTGTAACCTCCCCCTCGCCAGGTGGTATGTTCTAACGTTCCCCTTGCCTGGGCGTCAAATCCGAAAATTCAGTCAGAATGCATGGGAAACAAATGCTTGGTCACTGTAAGAGTACCGTTTTAGGTAGCAAGAGGGTTAAGGTTAGGATGAGGGTGAGGGGAAGGTTATGAATAACAAAACGTTAAGGTTTAGGTGTGGTTAAATGAGCTGGTTCGGTGCCGTAGCAGAGGACATCCCTTCACGTCAGTTTTACGCTGCATTAGGATCTGCAGTCAGAAAGGAGAAAACCCCCTTTTCGTACATAAGTGACGAAAAAGGGCACTTTTGGCGTCAGGGGTTTGACGCGGAGGGTGGCTGACCAAGTGTTTGTTTTTGACGTGCTGGGAGTGAGAATGTGTTGGCAAACCACAAAACACCAGATAAGCGTTGCCTTTTGTTGGGAAAACTTAAAAATGTTTTCTTTAAATATTGATCCATTGCAATGTACGTGCATCGGTTAGATTAGTATTATTGTAATTGTTTGGTTGTACAAATGAAAACAAAATTAGCTTTCTGCTAATTTAGCTAAGCAGGTTTATCAAACTGCCCCAACAGTATCTTATAATTTGATTTCAACAAACTTGGGTCATACATTAGTTGGTTTAAAAACAGGGGTCATATTATGGGAACTCACCTTTTGAATCCTTTTGTGCTACCATGTGGGTCTCTACTGCTTGTAGAACAACTACAAATAAAAAAAAATATTCATCTGTTTTCTATCATTAATTGGTTTTAGGAATTATGTAGCTAAAACAAGCCATTTGAAAAAGTTCTCATTTTTGATGTCACAAAATAGGATATTAGAATAGACACACCTGTATTGTGCAAAAGAGATCTGCTGCTGGAGGAGCAGCAGCTCTACTCCAACCCCTCCCAGGTATCAGAGCTTCTCAGTTAATAGCAACCTGAAGGGTGGGCATGGCAGGCTCCAGCTTGTTTTCTTAAAAGTACAGTTGACTGAATAGCTATTTTTAAAATGTTGTTTCCAATTAGTCATTCTGAGATGTTCATGCAGGCTGAACATGAAAATGGTATCCTAAGCTTCTTCTTCTTAAACCCAGTCATTTTCAAACATAATAAGTAAAAAATGGTTTTTCAGGAAAGGACTATTTTTTATAGATTAGCTTTGAAATTAAGTAACAAAACATATAATGACAAATTATACCAAACCTGTAATCATTAATGTAAAATAATGTCATCTCCTGCATTAGCTTCTGATAATAAAATAGATGTTGAAAATCTAGGATTTGAAAATCCTCACAGATCTACATCACACTGTGAATTGGCATTCATGTACTCGCCCATCTTGACTCACGACCAGTGATGGGAATAACAACTTTTAAAATAACGGCATTGCTAAAAAAATTTTTTTTTCAGTAACGAGTAATCTAATTACCGTCTTATTTGATCATAATGCCGTTTCTGTTACTAATAAGAAAATGCGTACGTTACTAATTCAGCAGCGCGGTATATTGATGGGAGCTGATTGGGAGCTAAAGAGGCGGATGTTTTCATCCAAGTGCATCATGGTCCATGAAGAACGAGGAAGATGTGATGATTAGTCTATGGCTGCAGACCTGCAGATTCGCTGCTACAGGTGTGAATCTGCAGCCGTGTCCTTCTTGGCGTGACAGAGGGGCGTCCCGAAGGTCTGCTCACCTGTTCACCGCTCAGACGTCACGATCTTGTACCTGCCTAGATCATCCAACTGTAACCTATTTCTCATCATTCCTGTAGTCCCGTTGTAACACTGGCTGCATCAGTGCCAAATGTCAGGGGCGCTCAGGTGTGATTAGAACTGTGTGTCTTTACCACCCAGATTCAGCCCTTCTGTGTTTGGGTCTGACCCAAGTTAGTACATTTAAGTCCTCTATTAGATTTATACTTCTTCCAGTTTAATTTTAAAGGATTTTTTATTTATTTATTTAACCATTACTAGATTACCAGCAACAGAAATGCTACTAAAAACACACACTTCTGTGAAGCTGGAAAATTTTAAATACTGTCCAAAATTACATTGATTTCAGTAATTTAACTAGACAGAGAGACCATTTAAAGGCTCAGGAACATTTACAGGTATTTCTATTTGCACATATAGATTGTATCTGATTGGGGTCTTGTTGCTCTACGGCTGGGTGATCTGCCCCTTAAACAAGACTCTGGCTGCAAGAATCGATAACTTTTATAGCAGGGCTCTGAGAACCAGTGAGAAAACCAGGTGGCCCCAGTGGATCTCCAACCAAGTGCTAAGAGAATGTATGTGCCAGCCCTGAGCATCTTGCTTGGCAGTGCAACGTCGCGCTGGCTCAGCCATGTCCTCAGTCTTTCTTTTGACAATCCGACCAGAGCCATTCTGCAGTTTGACCCGAGGGCCACTTGTTCAGAGCCACTCTGAACAAGTGGTTTTTATTCTAACCAGAGAAAAACAAGATTAGGATCTGATTGTCCCAGAGGAGGTCTAGTTTTGGACATGTATGCATTCTTTACATTTGCATAACACAAATCCAATGTCTTGTTTTCTCTGGTGGAGCAGCTGACAAACTGATGAAATGTTGGAAGAGTAGCAGAGAGCAAGGCATGATTAAAATCACCAGATATAGCCACAAATGCATAGGGTTGATGGGTTTGTAGCTTAGCGACAACGGAACTGATGGCATCACACGCACTTTCAGCAATGGCTGAAGGTGGAATAAAAACGGTTGTCAAGATTACACAGGTGAACTCTTGTGGCAAATAATATGGGCGACAACTTTCTGCCAAGAGTTCAACATCTGGGCTGCAGAGATGACATTTCACTGAAACATGACATGGATGGTACCATCTGTTGTTGACAAGCACTGCCACTCCACCTCCTTTTCTTTTCCCACTCCTCTTCATATCTCTTTCTTCTTGTACAGTCAGGAAACCTGGCATAGAGATGCTGGAATCAGGAATATGGTCCTGCAGCCACGTCTCAGTGAAACAAATAAGACTGCACTGCCGATACTCTGGCTGAGTCCTTGAAAGGGCTTGGAGTTCATCCATCTTGTTTGCCAGTGATCTCACATTGCCCATTATAATAGATGTAAGAGATGGTTTGAATTTCCTCTTTCTCTGTCTCCGTTTTGCTCCCGCTCTGCACCCACGCTTCTTGCGTTTTAGCTCATTTGGGATTTGTGGCTTCAGTTGAGGTATTATTTCAGCCTTTCCAATGTTAATCATCAGCTCCCGAGTGTAAACCAGCTTGTTGTCATGGTTACGCATCATAATAAATGCTAAAAAAGTGAAAAAATAGCAGTAAAAATCCTCTAAGCTTCACAGCACCAGAAACAGAAAAGTAAAATGTCCAAAACCTACAGTTTTTCTTGAGAAACTAGAAGAAAAAAGTGTCCAAAACAAGGCAAAATGTAAATATAGTCAACAGAGCTACTCCAACATTCAGCCACCCAGAGCAGCACAGTTCCGGAACAGTAACATTCCCAACTCTGCTCATGACGAGGACAGCTCTTAGCAGCAGAGGGCGTCTCAGCTGGTTTAAGCTAACCGTTGGCATTAGGAACACCACCTGATGGCAGAAGCTCCTCTAGGCTTGTGTTATTTGTGGAGATAAAACATTTACAGTACCCTAGAAAGTGCTAAATCAAACACAGTCCATTTATCGTTTTTATCATAGAACTATTATAACTTAAGAAAAAAGTCCTAAAATGTCCCCTCTAAACAGTTGCATCGTCTTATAATAACCATGGAGGAAAATCTTTATTAACAGAATAAACTACAGAACAAAGTCTTCTTTGATGATTTTCAACATGGTAAATCACCAGAGCTCTTTTTATTGTTTCAATCGTTTTCAGTGAATAAAAGCTCCAAAGAGGCCTAATTTGGAACAAAGCAGCACAAATACCCTCAGAGGTAGTAACTCTGGGCAGATGCCTCTCTCAGTGAGGCAGAGAAAGACGCTAAAAGCTCACTTTGT